CCTTGCCATCACAGTTTTTAAGGCTAAAGTCACCTGAATGAAATTTGCTGATCCATTGTTGACACGAACATTCAAAACATTTCCATAAACTTCTTTGATATTCTGTGTGGCTATAGAGGCATTGTTTCTTTCTTGTATTCAAACAGCATTATATGCCGAATATGTGTCTCGTTGTGTGCCATTACTATAAGAGATTAGAGTATACTAAACTTTACAAATTATATAGGCTACACTAAAGTGGCATTTAGGTGGTTCTTTTAACTATTATACGTGATGTTAATTTTTTGGGTGGTTGATTAATGAAAGTGTTCCAAAACACGACATTAATTTCTTGACGACCTAATATTTATATTATATTACAAAAAAAAATTACTGAATAATCTGTTGATGGAATTATTCAAGTCCTTAAAAAAAATAATTCATAGATATCACCTGCTTTTTTTACAGTTTTTACTCAAGACAACATAAAAAAGCTGACAAAACAAAAACAAAACAATCTGTTAAATCTACTAACAGCAGTATGTAAGAGCTTCAACACAAATAAATTTTTTGTATCATTATTTTAAAAGCTTTAAAAATACTTCAGTGACCAAGAAAATAATCTTAATATAGCTTAACAGAGTACATTTTCTGGTATCCTGACGATAACATGACAATTGCTGAAACTTAAAATCTTCTACAATCTAAACTTACGTGTAACTTTCAAAATCACTAGTATTGATTGCTTCAATGAGTTGTTCCGTAATTTTGATGATTTCAGCCTTGCGTGCTGTAACACACAATATTTTTTACAATTAGAAACAGCTCTTTTATTCATTCCTGTTATAGTCATACAAAACTGACAAGTCATACAAAAAATACATCTATTTACACAATCATTTTTACATTCACTACTTAGAAAAGTATATAACAACACTTTGAAGAAGGGTTTGCAAAACATTCAATATACACAAAATGCACTATTACAAGGCTAAAAAGCAGTCATTTTAATTTTCTCTTAATAATGCTAACCTACAGTGTTAAAGTACTTTGAGAATTTTCTTAATTATTTTTCATCAATATCCCGAAACAAAATCCACCTTATAACAATAAAGACAGATATTAGTTGAGAGGTTTTTGCTGTCAGTCAGAGATCCTAAGTTTGAGCCCTGGTTGACAATAAGATTTGCATTTTCATTTATGACAGCAACTACTAAACTGAAGGTCTACTGATCCACTAGTGGGTCACAAACAAGACACAGCATTACAAACAGCCAGAAAAATGCCTGGCTACTCAGGTGGATTGTGAGTTGGGATAGTTTGGGAACCCCCAACTTAGAATATAATTTAAAGGTAGAAAAAATGGCAGAGAAAAGTTCAGAGGTCATAAATACTACTACTATTATAACATCTAAATTTCTAAGCTATGACATTTTGATTATAGGTAATTAGGTTTCCAAGGAAGCAAACAGCCTCTTGGTTTCATCTGACATAACACACGAAAAATTTTTTCTTATTCTGTAAAACTAAATCATAATTATTAAGCACATAATTGCTAAACACCCTTATTAAGTACAAACAATTCTACTAAATGTATTTTAAGCAAGATATTAATTATGTAATATGTACCTTTTAATGTAATAAAAAAGTCACATAGTATTAATAGAGACATACTGTTAAACATACACTGATACTCTGCTAACCAAATTACAATTATGCCATAAGCCTAAAAACTGTTATAAAAAACATAACTTACAATTGCACCAAGTTAAATTAAAAGTACAAACAAGACACAGTAAGAAAATGATTTATCTCATTATGAAACCCAAGTGTTGAGTTTTAGTATTAAGCAAAAGGCCTCTTGGGCAGTGAACTGTGGGAGACAAAAGAAAAATCTGAAATGATGTTCTAAATGCATCTGATTTTGAATCTGCAATGGACAAATCAAAAGGAATATGAGGAAAAAATATCTGCAGTCAACATGATTTTTCTCAAATTTTAGGACAAGGAACATAATTAAAGAAACTATTTTGACTGTTGGCTATTGTTTATATGGAAACAACCACTACATATTTAATTTAAATTATTAGTATTGCTGCCTACTGTAAAAATAGGAAAGTTTTCTATATTGCCAAACAAATAAAATATAATCCAATTTGTACAAATAATGAGAAGCCCACAGAACATGTATGCGTAACCAATCTACAACTGGGATGAATGCACTTAAATACTGTTGCTTTGAAATGATGTAAAAAAAACAATTGAACACTACTTAGCGGCTTTATTCACGAAGTCAGTTTTTTTGAGATGTCCACCGATAAAATGTAGCCATTAGTTAAAACTTCATTCTATTTCATAGATGTAATTTTACATTTTTTTTTGTTTTGCAAATTTATTACTCTATGACTATGTACAAACTTAATAAAATTACCTCTTAAGTTTTAAAAACCTTTTCCCTAGGTTACTAAGTAAAATACATAATAAAATTTTTTGAGTTTCACTTTTGTGTATAATTATATACACGTACATTATATTAACCTGTAAAGACCTAGTTCATTTAAGTTTAACAGTCCTTAAGAATTTAAAATTTATACGCATACTAACTTTCAACATGTCATTGTTTATGTAGTTTTAATGTAAACTTAAAATATTATATATAGTGTACTTAAAACTAAATATGCTTCCAAACTGAGCCTATAACACAGATCTTACTACAAATGACATCTAGTAGTATACAATATAAGACTAATTTTTTTATACAAGGTACATATAAATTTGTTTCTTTGATTGTTTTCAAGCACAAAACTACACAATGGGCTATCTGTGCTATGCTCACCACAGGTATTAAAACCTGGTTTTTAAGAGTTATAAGCCTTCGGACATACTGCTGAGTTACTGGGGGTAGATACATACAAGTAATTTGTTTATTTATTTATCTACTAGAAAATAATTATACAAAATATAACTGGTTCCAACATTAACAAATATAATAAACAGAAACAATGTTCTTAAGTCGTGATAGCCATAAGTTTAAATACAGTGGTTTTGTTAAAATAAAAAGCATTAATAATTTAACAATAAACTTCAGTATACATGTAAAAATGAGTATGCTTTATCACGTTTTAATGTTACAATAATCATCTATGATGCTACGCAAGTCAAACTAATTAACTTGGGCTTTTGTTACTTCAGTCTGAAGATAAGGTTCTATGGCAACTCCTAAGTTATAATAGATTTGACTTCCCCATTATAATGAGAAGGTCATAGTGGCCAAACATTTATCAACAGAAAGTGGCCAGTGGTAACATTATCCTGAAATGTCAGTTTAGAGGAAAATCTAATCTTTAAACCAGCACTTGCAGTGCACAACTGACATAAAGGTAAAGCACTGTGTTAAGTGACTGGTTTGATGTTTTATTTCAAAATATTCATCCATACTTGGGATGGTGATGATTCAGGTTTGCTCCTCTCCCATAAAAAAAAGCAATGAGAAACATGAGTGAAAATAGTGTTATGTTAGAAAATCTCTGATTTTTATGTGATAACTGGTTTTAGAGTACATGTTGGGCATAAAGAAATAGTGGACTATTTAATGAAGACAGAGAAGTTAATCACACAAATTACATTATTTCCTAAAATACTGTGCTTTATATTTGGTTTCTTTCCATACATGCAAGTGAGTACTTGTAAAGGAAAAATAATTCCATTTAGCCAAAAAAACTTTCCACACAACAACCTTGAAGGAAATCCATCAAAGTCATATACATAGCCATCTGAAATAGCAAGAAGTCAGAAAAACAAACAACAACACACAAGCACTAGTAAAGAACATTAAATAATAAACACTACAGTACTTAGGTCCTACTCTGATAAAAATACTTTTATTTTATCAACATTAATTAAATGTACAATCCCTTGTATTTCTAAAAGAAAAAAGAAAGCAATACGTTAGAGGTCATATTCATTAAATCTGAAAAGTGTACTTTTACATAAAAAAAGTTAAAACATTTTTAACAGAAAAACAAAGATAACAAAATGTAAAAGTAGCATGCCAAAACTGCAAAATATCTTTGTCAAGAAAAAGGAGACAACATTTTGTAGTTTACTTAATAGCTGTACAGTAACTGTTTGTGAATGAATTAGAAAGAAAAAGACACACCTCACAAAAAGCAACAATATGTGTTACAAGCTGTTGATAATGAAAGTGCAAACTGTTACACAATATCATACTCACGTTCTGATGTATAGCCATTATTGATCCTTATGGCTACAGTAACAAGAGAGACAGGAAAGTTTATAAAAACATTTGACATATATAAGAATGAAGAAGAAAGAGATAATAACAAGCTTTGGAGTAATAAAACTGTGAAATATTATACAGACAGCCTGAATAAAATGTGTTGAAAACTGCCACTTATTGAGTGAATAAAAACTCGAGTAAACCTAACAAGTTAAGTCACTTTTGTTGCATTACTGGTTAAAACCTAATGTGAAAAGCAGGCTTCTCCGCTATAGCAAACTACTACATAACATTAGAACTATGAATACTAATAACTGACAATATATAATTCTTTCATTCTCTTATCTGATTAAACACTTTCTGAACAAAGCAACTCAACACACAAGATGTTTTAAAAAGATGATCTCCTCTTTATCAGTAAAGGTGGAGGTATGTAAACTAGATTAAGCAAGAAGAGTTAGTCACAGAGAAGGGATAAGTGACTAATCAGTCACTAAGTAATAAGGTGTGAAGGAAGTAACTCTTACTTTGAGATGGGAGGTTGTGCAAAAGATCCAGGATCTTGGACAGTACAGTTTAAAGATAAATATAATGAAGTTAGAAGCTATAAAAAAAACCCAGTAAGATATTAACTACCAAGTGGAGATAATAACAATAAAGAAAGAATGTGGAATCAGTCTGTATTTATGTACAGTGTTTAAAACTGAATAGGATAACATTATTCACACTTTAAATGAAAAAAAGCTAAAACTACATTTTAGTTTTATAACTTGTATTTTTCACTGTTCATTTCTTTATTGTTAGTTTCTTTTATACTTATGTTACTTTTTTCCAATACAATATTTTACAAGCTATCTGCTGTACTCATCTTTTACGAATATATTATAGAACATTCTACTGGTTGCCTGATTGGTCATATTATACTAACACTGTAACTATTAGTGTTCCTGATTAAATCATTTTACACAATCCTCCTGTTACCCATTTTTTCTGTGTTGAAGAAGAAACCAACCTTTGTAAAAGTTCAAGACCACTGGGCCATTTTTGGATTTCTGTTATTTACTTTCCATGGTTATCCATGATAATACTGCACACTTTTTTTAAAACCAAGCCAATATGGAACAGTAAATGTAGCACTAAACATTCTCTTAAATCGTGCTATTTACTCATTAACCCACCAGAAACACAGAGTGATTTTGAAACAGAGAAAGAAAAAAACATGTGTGCTAGTTTTTTTTTTCAATCACAAAAGCAAATGAAGAAATAACAAATACATCTTGACCATAAAGTAGTCACTAGATGTAATAAACTATATTTTTAAATATGTATTAAAAACCTCCATATTTCCTTAAAAAAAAAGTTACAAAACTTTATTTGACCATTAGTACTAAATTGAATTAAAACAAACATACAGTTTTCAACACTATATATAAAATTAGAGCAACATCTGACAATCTTTCTTTGAAAAAGAAGTAAAATGGTACTGTAAGAATAGCAGATCATCATAAAATAGTAAATTATGAATTTACTTTTTAAGCTTAAATATTTTTGCATCTTTTATCATTTTGTAAAATAACATAGGTGAAGGTGTTACCTATAAGGTAAAAGAACAAATATCCAATTCATGACTGACTTCATGTTATCTTTTATTGTTAGTTGTGTATGGTAAAGTTCAGTTAAAACTCTTTATTTTCATACATGGTGTTTGAATGTCATTTAAAATGTGGTATGTATTAATGTAAAAAGAAATTTACTAGTAGTTCAGACTGCAAGTTTCTTTTTGTGGTGTTAATTTTGACTAGCATCAAATTTTACCTTAGTATTTACCTATTAGAATGTTTAATTTAATATTAGTAATTTTGTTAAATGTGGTTTATCTTTTAAGTTAATTGGAGGTTGTAACTGACCAAAACCAGTCAATAACATCTCCTTTTACCTACTAGTAGTGGTCTGTTTGACCAGATCCCATCATAAGTTAGGTAAAGACAAAAACTTATCAATACGAAATGGCATTTTAGTTCAGAAAAAAAATGGGATAAAAAAAAAGAAAGATGCTATTTTAGCCAGTTCATGAGAAAAGGCATCCATCTCTGTCCAACTTTAAAAATGTGATTAATTGCAATTTAATATTTTTTCAGGTCAAAAATACATGCTGAAAGTTGGTTGTGCCATTGCTGAGTTGTGGCACCATTAACCACTGCTTGTATGGGCACAAAACATAAAAATATAATATTTTAGTCATTAGTCTTTTTATATTTATATACATACACGTATTTTGTCATTTTAGGCATGTTCAATAAAATACAAGCAATACAGAAACATCAGGATCATTAATGTGCACATTTTTGCAACCAGATTCCTAGGTGTCATATCAAGTAGGAAGATTGATTTGGTTAGCATAACTGACCTTTTGAAATTTGAAGATACAGGTGAGTTTGCTCTTGGATGGGCTAGATATCTGAAACATGGTGCTCAGTAGGATGCAAAAAATACTGGTCCTTCAAAGAGGAAATCAACGAATTATTATTTTTTTGTATGACTGATGAGTCCTACAAACCTTTAGCTGAGCAGATATTCAAGAAATTAAAAGTAGACCATTCACATTGGCACGAACTTCCATCAATTTTTGTGATAGAGCTATATGACACTATTGTTTGCTAGGCACAAGCAGTGGCAAGCATCCTTGACCAACTGTCAGGAGAAAACATAATGGCAAGGCAAAAATTTCAGAAACAGTGCAAGACAGGATGGACAAGACCTTGCCAGCAATATAACACATTATGAAACTGAAGACTCAAATAAAATTGCATAATAAATTAATTCTAAAACTTCAATAAAAACGTAATATGGAAACAAACTTGAAAGTTTGCACAGATACCAACATACTGCTAAGTGAAAATTGCACTAGTAATACCACTGCCATTTTGTCAACACCAAGATGTGGCCAAGGTATATAAAAGATGCTTTAGCTGACAACTTCATAGAGCTATTGGGGAAACTTTGGCATTTCAGAAACAGTCATTGGTTCTTAGGACTGATGAAGCAACCCCAACACATGTGCAAATTTGATAAAATGCCTCACTGTTTCATAATGTACTTCAGACAATTTGGTAAACTTCCAATTGTAGAAGTCTCATGCATATTTAATTTTTATTTTATCAGTACAGTTTCTATATCATGGCACCCCAGTAGATAATAAAGTACCCCATATATTTTTGTTAATAAACACATTTTGAACTCAAAACAGCACATACCTTGTTACATTCAAGTACACTCAACTCTACATTAACTTTTCTATCTAGTGCCTTCTGGTCATAGATATTGCTCTAAAAAGTGATGACTACCATGACAGAGGGCCAATATTTGCAGGGCAATATCTCCATGACCCAAAGATGCATCACATTTTTCTTAATACTTTCTCCATATCTTGATACTGATGTACAATCAACATAAATACTATAAACTCAAATAAATTAGCATAATACATTAATTTTAAAACTTCAATCAAAACGTAAAAAAGATGTCTTTTCTCATGAATCAGCTGTTAAACTATCAGGAAAACTAATTACAAATCTACATTCATTCTTGTATGTTGTTATGGGAAAAACTTGTACAAATAAATACTAAATATTATTAACAAATTTTATGAGGTGTGTTTATTTTACATTAATTACAAGAAAACTTAAAACATATATAATGTATGTATTAACACAGTTTTTCGCAAAACAACAAAATAAAAAGAAAATGAATGAACTAACAGGAAATATACTATACAAATATTATAAGGAGGGAGTATTCTTCTGAGGAACATGTATAAATAAATTATGTAACATCTACCTCTCAAGAGCTATTAAAATAATAAATGGAAAGATAGTTAGAAGTTGGAATTTTCAAGATAAAGAAATAGGGGAATGTTGTGGCCTACATACCTGAGTCCACGTGAATAACTGTTTTACTTCTTTCAGGCCCTGAGGGACCATCTAAGAGTAGGAGAATGAGAAAGGCAGAGAGTATTGAAGCAAAGAACGATCCAAGCAAATGTTTGATCCATCAGTTAAAAATAAGATGTTCCCATATAAACAAAAGGATAGACAATAAACTTTCAGGCAGTTTAGATAAAAGTGGGTTTATGCCATGCCAATATCATATGCGAGGTAAATACAGTAAACATACATACACATCAGAACAACATAATACACAATGCAAGGCAAGTGCAAAAGTTTTCTATTCAGCTGTTAGATTCATATTCCATGTTAAGTATATACAACTCATTTTTGAAAGAATATAAACTAAGATATTTCAGATTTGTGGATGTATTAAGAGCTCTTAAAGAAATTCAAATAAGTTCAAGAAAGTCAAGCTTTCCTAAGTACCACTCTATCCAATTTGTGATGTAATAGTATAACAATCAGTCACCAGAGAGAACCAAACTCCTACTACTGTTCTAGCAAGTATATGTAATGTAATAATATAACAATCAGTGAAGAGAGAACCAAACTACATCTACTCTTTTAGCAAGTATATGTAATGTAACAGTATAACAATCAGTGACGAGAGAGACACAAACTACATATACTCTTATAGCAAGTTTATGTAATGTAATAGTATAACAATCAGTGATCAGAGAGAACCAAACTCCTACTACTGTTCTAGAAAGTTTATGTAATGTAATAATATAACAATCAGTGACGAGAGAACCAAACTACATCTACTCTTTTAGCAAGTATATGTAATGTAACAGTGTAACAATCAGTGACGAGAGAGACACAAACTACATCTACTCTTATAGCAAGTTTATGTAATGTAATAGTATAACAATCAGTGATCAGAGAAAGAGACAAACTATATCTACTCTTCTTGCAAGTTTATGTAATGTAATAGTATAACAATCAGTGATCAGAGAGAGCCAAATAACTCTAGATTAACTGAAGAGAATAATATGCGAAATCTTAATCTTCACTACTAAATGTTTAACTAGTGTAAATTGATCAAACAGTTTACTGTCAACTATCTTTTTCCTGACCACTACTATGATAGTCAATAGTTCAAGGGAGATATATGTATAAAAAGTCTATGTAAAATATGCTATATAGAAACTGCTCTTACAACACCATGAAATGACAGCTCACATGTATATTTTTAACTCTTGCAAAAAAAAGTATGAAAGTCACATTCTACATATTCCTATAAAATACAAGGAATGCTTAAAAACATGAGAAACAGCAAGATGAGAAAAGGCCATTTGGCCTATCAAGGTCCATACTCCAAAAATAACAATGAGAACAACTAATCCAAACTAAATGCAGGCCTTCACACATATAAATTTGTTCAACCTATTTCACAATTCTCTGTCCCTAGGAGTTAATTTATTTCATAATAAAAAACATGTAAATGTCATGCACTTCCAAAATAAGATTGCAACAGTATACATCAATTGAAATTTATGCTGTTCTTTGTAATATTACCTTACATATTTATGAAAGACAGTATTTAAGTTTTCATTATTGTGTAACAATAGCTTTAAATTATGGTATAATTTCATGCAAAAATGCATTAAACAGAGTGATGTCATTGATCAAAATGGGTCCATTTTAAATTTTCTAATCAGCTACAAAAACAATACAAGTCATAATGGTAAGTAACAATTGTATATAAAAATATTGTTAAAATGAATGGAGCTCAAGTAAGGAAAATTCTTGACCTTAGTTGCTTATAGTTTAACTGTATGTTAAGTTGTAGTGAATAATGAAAAGCTTAACAGATAATTTTGTAAATAATTATTTACATGTGATAGTAGGTGAAAGAATAATAAGACTGCACAAACAACTGAAGGTTTTCCACATTATAAAGTTTGACAAAAATGCTGCTTTTCTTTTCTCAGAAAGTGTTTTAGTGAAACAGTGTAATGAATGATATACAAATTTTATCTACATACATTATGCCAAAACATTGTTCCATAACATATTTTAACAAGGCAATAAAGAAATGCACAGAGAAAGCAGAAAGTTTCGTGTGTATGTTTATCAAACAATAAAAAAAATTCTAAAGGTGAGTAAAAAGTTATCCAAGCAAAGATCTGTACAGAAAACAAAGTTTTAATAAAATGATCTAAATTACTACACAATGTCTGAACATACTAATTCAACCTGCACTACATAATTTCAAGTTCGTGCACAGATTTATGTATAAGTTAGATATACAAACAAGAATAAAGCTCATTCAGAAATTGATCTGAATCACTTATATATTCAAAGCTTAACAATATTCAAGTGTTTTTTCAAACTTTCGAGAGAGAAAAACTCCAAGACCATTTGGTCAATATCTTGGTATTATGACTATAATTAGAAAAATTACAAACAATGCAAAAGCATATTATATTTGTTTTTCTAGGCTAATTTCTATTCTAATAATATACACCAGTGACATGCAGTTCTAAAATTCATGCAAATTATATGTTCACAGTATTCAGTGGTAGCTATTTCAAGTAAACAATTTAAAAAACAACAACCTCAGTGTATTCTACATATACATAACAAATGAAAATACTACATTGTAGTTTGACAATACATGCACAAAAGATATAATTACACAATAGACACATTTTATATTAAACAAGAATTAACACTAAAAACATAATAAACTAAGTATTTTTCAGTTACATCATTATGAAATGTTTTGAAAAAACAAACATTTAACTTTCTTTTTCTATATTACACTACAATAATATATATACAATGTTTAAAAAAAGTCATTGTGGTAAAAAAATGTCAGACAATTCAACAATTAATAATCACTTAAATATATAGTTTACTTTCTCTTTTTAAATTCAACTTTATATTTTAACAATCTTATATATAATACATATTATTATCATATTAAGGAAAATAAAATAATGACATTTTACTTTGCTCTTTTTTCAATCAAGTTACTGAAGCTTTTTAATGAAATTACAGAGCAAAAGAGAAGTTGATCGTAACAACTACTTTAATATTAAATACTTTTCTGAACTGGTTATTAACTGTTAGCAATAGTAGCACTGACCAACAACACATTACTATTATTACTTAAGTAGGATCTTATTTTTCAGAAATAAAAGAAATGGAAATTTGATGTATTGATGATAAAACAGTGGATTAACTAGCCAATACCTTCTTGGTATTGGCTAATCAAATCACTTTGATTTTTGTGAGATAATGTTATGCTAGATTAACTTTTATTATGTTAAAATGATCACACTTAAATAAATGTATTTTGTAGTAGGCATTCATATAGAATATATTTCTCTGAGACAGATCACGTTTTATTAAATTTTCTTTACGTTATTCCTGAAATCCATGTAACTATAAACCAACTATTAATTTTTTGAACATTTACTTATGAAAAATTAAGTTGTATATAAGAAGACATACATCAACATGCTGTTATAGATATTAACATAAAGTTACTAAACTTGCCAATGTACATCTAAAAAAAAACAGTTTTAAGTGAAAACACCAACATTGAACGGCTTGCAGTTCTACCATATCACAGTTTTATTACATACAACTATTGAAATATAAAACTACATACCTAACCCTTGCATGTTATAGGCTCAGTAGCACATTCATTAAATATATTTTCTTTAAAAAGCAGAAGAAAAACTACATAAATGATTTGTTTTTTATATACTGTAAAATATTTTCTTATTTTTTCCTTTGCACAGTGCAAGTAAGCTCTAATCTGTTATCAACCTGAATAAATATGTATCTTAAAAATTAATTTCTTAACAGCTTCATTCTTTTATTTCATTTGATATACAATAGTTACACAATGTTGAAGTTACAAACCATTCAACATGTGTGTGAGTTATGACATTTTCTAATAAATATTAAAAAATCAAGGGTTAGAAATAATAACATGGTAATAACCAATAATATTTTTTTACCTTTAATATATGAAGACTTGTTTATTAACTTCTACCATATTGAATTTTACAATACACGAGACGAGTTATCTCAGCAATATTTGTACAATCATAAGGCAGAAAAAAAACAAAACATTTATCTATTCATAGTGTGTGTATATGAATGACCACAAATTTTGATAATTAGGGCAAAGAGCTCTCACAACCTCAAAGTATTTACCTTTAATATCATCTTCTTCTAAAGTAGTGTTACTATCAGTGGATTCTTTTACCTGTGAACCATCTCCTTTCTTTGTTATAATGCTTCGACCTACAAATAGCACACAAAATATTAGGCAGAAAAAAAAGACACACCTTTGAAAATTCCTTTTTTTTGCATTTCAAACATGAAACACAGCCACTTTTTTTTAAAACAAATAACCTTACGGTTATCAAGAACTCAAGAATAATTTGTATTAGTTGTGAATTGATGAATAATATTCTGATAAAAACATAGAACAAGGTAAGCCTTTTTGTAAATTATTTCTAATTATAATTTTCAATATAAACAAGCATATACAATAAACACAATATGCCAACTTTTTGTTTTAGCTTCTGAGGCAAATTTCTGCTCTTTTTTACATAGTGTGATACCTTGAAGTTTTTGGTAGCATTACATGTAATCATTTTAAAGGAACTGTTGTACAGGTAAGGAGAAAAATTCATAAAATAATGTGATCACATATCTACTCATATAAAAGAATGTTCGTGTACACACACATACCTCCAAGATTTTTTTCAGTGTTTTATACAAATAAACATAACCTTTTAGCTACATGCCCACATCATGCAATGGCAGATATTTAAATGAATGTCTTGCTCCAACAATGCATTCATATGGCCTAAGAAGTTTTGTTGTTTAGTGAAAATCCTTATGAAGTCTAAAAACCTGAGTACCTGCTTTGGTTTCTGCAAGTTCAAGAGCAGTATTTTAAGCAACAAAGATATTTTTCATGAACTGCACAAAAAATTTTAATTATGTATATCTGTGTAACAGCACATTTTTCCAATTATAATTTTTTTTGCAATAAGGTATAATTCAATTTCAAATCAGGAGTGCAAGATAAAAGTAAAATTAAAAATTTTTCATGTTGAATGAGAAACTTGAAATTTTAGGACAGAATACTTTGAGATCAAGACGAGTGGACAGAGTTATGTAGAGTAAGGATATATGGAATGGACTGCTGTAAGATTGGGATTTTTTTCCACTTAAATTTGGTATCGTTCCATTAGCATTAGATTTAAACTTTATTGTAAATTACTTTACATGATATTGTGTATTTACCTATTTTCTATAAAATCAGGATATCATGGAATTAACTGCTGTAAGATCAGGTTATTATGGCATAAACTGTTGTAAATATCAAGATATTTTGGAATGAGCTGCTGTAAGATCAGGTTATTATGGCATAAACTGTTGTAAAGATCAAGATATTTTGGAATGAGCTGCTGTAAGATCACGTTATTATGGCATAAACTGTTGTAAAGATCAAGATATTTTGGAATGAGATGCTGTTAGATTAGGATATGTTAAAATTAAATTTTACTTTAAGGTTTAAATATTTTGGGATATCACTATCTGCTTACTCTGTCATTTATTCTAACTACTTCACCACTGTTTGTTCCCCTAATATTCTCCTATTCTCAAATATATTTTAAGAAAATATTTCACCTAAAAAACTTGTAATGACTTACACCTACGTTAAATTTCATCATGTTTAATTGTTTGTTAAAGCTTACTGATAGCAAACTGTTTGTTTAAATACTTGCCAAGATATAACACATTTATTATGCCCAATAAAGCAGTCTTCCTTTATCACATAGTCATGCTATTCTCAAATGTACAGACACAATAGTCACATAAGTAGCAAAAAATACAAATGATAAAGGTGGTTTGTGGAGCAATATTAAAAAAACAAAAAGCTATAGAATCAGCAACAAAAAACTTACAGTACATTAGAACAATACTGGCAACTAGGAAGAAAAATAAATATTTAACAAGTGGATAAGTGGATAAAATATATTATAAGTACAACAAAATGCAGCAATAAATAATTAAAAACCTGTTAATAGTTATAAAATAGAAGTAATTTTAAAAGTCATACAGATTACAGACATGCAAGCAAAAAAATACAATCTATAACAATATATACATATCTAAATGTGCACAGGGTTTGTCTATTGGACATGCTATGAAGTTAATTTGTCAAAGTACAAGTAACATAGCAAAACTACTAGACAACTCGTGAGCCCCATAATTATAAGTTGAATTGTGTGATACAACTTGTATGTTAAGCAATTTCCAATGTTAAAGTTTATATCAAATAAGTTTAAGTAAAAAATAAGATATTCAAATGTTTTATACTGTTGAAAAGTATACAAGTTTTTTTTAAACTTCATAGCTTTTTAGCCTCTTTTCACTAGTGCATAATATTTTGTGTGTGTGTGTTTAATAACTATTGAACTTTTCTTAAAACTGCTGCCCTGGATTCATTTTTAATCAATTACTAGCCAAAGTGTTTACTGTTATCATGTGAGTCACAGATGTTGCATTATTACAATTCTGGAAAACTGAGAAATGTCAAAATATTTAAAAGAGCTGGGATCATACTCTAAAGATGTCTACCATTATACCATTACTATACACACACACACTAACTGGAGAATCCTGAGCCTCAAGTTAAGTACACACCTGCATGACTGGACAAAGTTAATTAAAAAATGTTTTAAAAAAAATACATATTTACACAATATGAGCACTTTTATACATTCCTAATTTTGTTCATAGTGACATTTTAATATAATATACTACAGTTAAATCACGATATGTTGGGAGAGACTGCTGAAAGATTAAAAAAAAATGAGAGAATCGCTAAATCAAAAAGAATCAAGACAAACTGGTTACAATCACATGTTGGTGAAGAATAAACAAGTTCAGGATATTAAGGATTTATACAATATCAAGACATGCTAAGATAGGTTACAGTAATATGAAGATATGAAAGAAACTATGCATAGCAAGATATGGTGGGATAGGCCACAGTAAGGTGAAAATATTATGTAAAATAAGCAATATCAAGGTATGTTGGATAAGCTACAAAAGATGAAGATATGATGGTAAATAAACAATATCAAGATATGCTAGGATAGACCACAGTAAGATAAAGATGCATCAAAAAATTTGCAAGATAGGCTATCGTGGGAAACTCTTCCTTAAAAATTAGATATGTTGTAACAGACTGCTGCTGTAAGGTCAAGATAAGGTGGAATATGTATAAGGAAAGGATATACCACGATCAAACAAGATGAGGATATGTAAGGGTCAACAGCTGTAAGATACAAATATGGTATGATATATGCAAGATCAAGATATCTTAGGGCAGGATACATGTAATTTGTGATAGACAGTTGCTTACAGGGCTAGATGTTGATAGAAAAATTAACAAAGAAAGTCTTTTTCTGCAGCAGCTAGTATAATATAAACATATAATTTCTCTTACAAACATCATCTTTAAGATGCAAGTTAGAAACTAGCTCATGATTTACACAAATTAAGAAAGCACAACAGGAATGGGAATGCCAACATCTTAACCCTATCCCTGTTCTGTGCACGACATGCAATTTACAGGACGTAATGCTAATGTGCCTGAGTATCTATCGTATGTGATACACAGCTATATTTATTTGATATGCAGCTGATGTTCACGAATGTGGCAATAGAAACTGGTTCAATATATGAGATCAGAAGGGAGCTTCATATAAGCATTACATGTGATACTCAAAGCACATGTAAATGATGATAGGTTAAATGACTTTCCATAAAAAACCATTAAATGACCTAAAACAAGGAAAGGGTTAATATGTTGGACAATCAAGAATACTTTATATAACTCTGAAAGCAGTTTATCCTACTTGTGCTTATAGTACTTATTTTAAAAGCTGAATTAATGGTACGTGAAGGATACAATATAAACTAGGTGTTGGATGTTTATTGAAACTATAACCATATTAATGTAATAATTTTTATTTTGCTTTGGAAATATTTCAGTTAAATAGTTAGTTAATCAAGCTAGAAACTAGCAGATCATTCTCTTCAAATAAAAGTGAATATAAAACTTAAAGACAAAAAAAAAGAGGCTTATGTTCATTAACACTTTAGTAATAAACAGAAACAGCAAAATATGGTGATTTAAAAAAAAACTCAGAAATTTAAAACTAGTTGAAAAACTTGGAAACACAAGTTAAGTTTTCACTTTTTTTTTAGCTGCATTGCCACTATAAAATTGTATTTAAGAAAACAAATCTCTGAAAAGCTATAATATATACAGTACCAATTTTAGTGAGAAATTCATATATTAAATGATAAAAACAAACAAACAAAACTTGTACATGTTTACCTGAATTGGAATTTACGTTGCCTGTGAGAAAAGCATGTGAAAAATTAAAGCAAAGTAATAACACTTAAACCATGCAAAATTATTACACAAAATTATCATAAGTTACTACATTTAACAGAAGGTTGATTTCAATTACAAAAAAATATATAAATGTTAAAACACATGAAATATTAACTCAATGTAAAAAATAATATTTGGTATACTTTAGTTAATAAGACTAGCTTTTTTCTTTTTATTAAAGACATTCTCAAACAAATTTTGTAATTTTAATGAAAAAATATATAACAAAATATTTCTACTTGTATACATCAACAACACAAACTATACATAATTAACAAAACAAGACATTTTCATTTAAATTATAATATTTATACTGAATAGTAAAAATCACAAAAAAGTTAAAATAATGTACTGTGGCAAGCTTTCGTAGAAAACAAAACAAATAAAGTCATACTACTACAGTTACTTAAAAACCAAATTTATAAACAATATAACATTTATAAGAAAAAAAAATGTTTAGGTTTTTTATATTTAATGATTATATGTCAAATAACTTGATAGAGTAGTTTGAATAAAACACACTAGAAATGCACAATGTATGAGTAAAATTAGTAGCACATCCCGTATGATATAGATAAATCACTACTTAAAACTGATGAGAGTAAAAGCAAAAAAAAAACAAAACAAAAAAACTGATCAATTACAATAACACAAATATAAAAAGTGTTTAATGTACAAGCTAAATAAGTAGCCCAAGTTTATCACTGTAAAAGTCAGATCCAAAGAAGTACTCTAAATTAACCAGTAGAGAAAGCTAAGCCAGTAAATTCAATTTGGCCACTGTACAAGCCAAATATAGAGCTTAACTTAATCATTACATATGTCAAACCTTTAGTCCAAACTGATCACAGTAGAAACCACAAATTATTCAAGAAAGTGATCAACAATCACGTTGAAATGATTTTCTTACTTAATCATTAAAAAACAAATCAAATCAGCATTGTATATTAATTGATGAGAATGAAAGGAACAACTGAAATCAATATGTATAACGAAACAAAAATTAGTTGTGAAAAGTGATCAGTACAAAAGTAAAATGACTAATACAAGTTGATCAATACACAAGAAAAACCATTTGTTGAAATTTGTCAATGTAAAGAATAAATCATCAGTGCAGAATCCATAGTCCATAGTATCCAATGGAAATTCAAGCAGTAATCAAAACTGATTTGTATGAAAGTCAAATCAGTAGATCCAATCGATGAACAGGGAACCAAATTAGGGTTCCAAATTGATCAGGGTAAAAACCAAATCAGTCGTCTCAATAGTTATAATTATTGACCAATACTAAAATGCTTGTATAGGAAATTATTATTGTATCAACTTTTGCAAAATTGCTTTATGTTTACAAACAAATTCTCAAAATTATTTTTCTTTCATAGAGACTTTCATATTCACATATAAAGAAATTTAAGTCATAAAATGTACGGGAAATATTAACAAATTACTTCATATAGTGCTTACAAATTCACTATGTTAACAGAAGTACAAATTAGGCCAAAATATTTATAAAGGCTTTTTTTAATGTGTTAATATTTTACCAATTATAAGTCATCAGTTAAAATATGATTAAAAGAAGAATGATCATGATCTTAGCCATTATATAGTTAAAAGCTGTGAGAATAAAACTAACTGCACACTATAGACAAAAAATCTCTTGCTATTTTACAATTCCTGCACTCAAGGGTTATCCAAAATACAGTTATAGTAAACGCACTCACTAGAGAAGTTTCTTGTTGCTAGCATGGTTGTCAAAATAGCCCCCTATACAAAGAAATATTAATAATTAGCAAGAAGTACAAATATTATTTCAATACTTTTCCATATGATACCTATTTTGATGAAAATTATTTTTAATGGTTCTTTCTCAAACAGCTTTCCATTCATTTTTAAAAACTGTTTTTTATCACACAATGCTAGTTAGCAAATAACATGCTTTAAATCAAGATTAAGCCAACTTTATACTTGTAATCTTTATCATTACACTCACAGAGTACAATTTCCTTGATAGATTTAAGCTTTAAGAGGTGTCTTGTATAAAACACTCAAACTACTTAAAAAAAAAAAAAGGATTCAAACATTAATTAACAATGCATACTGATAAACAAAAGCATTAAAATATGGGTAATTCTCAAGTAAAGGTAGCAAATTTTCTGTTTTACGTACAATAAATTTAAAAGGTACTTAAAACAGCACAATATCATGTTTTCTGTAAAGTCTATAGATGAACTCTTGCAAAAACATTGTGCTTCAAGAAATTAAGTTATTATTCTTTAATCAATATTCAAACATTACCTATTGCTACATTTTAGCATCAACTTGAAATGGCAAGTTTAGTATTACAATTAAATCATTCAATGTAATCAAACAGATTCACATAAATAAACTTTATGGATTCCACATTTTTACTAGATAATCACCTTAAGTTTTCGGCGAGCATTGAATTTCTTAAGACAATCCACAGTCTCTTGACGATGAAGGGTAGAGGCAACTCTTTCACGTTGCTAGAAAGAAAAATGTATGAACATAAGTAATATTACATCACTCACACGCAGATAAAAAAACTAGGAATTGTTTTATGTATTCCTAAACATTTTTGCCACAGTGCCTCTTTCAGCAAACAAGGAGTGCTCATATCCCTTCTAATAAATTTTCAGACCATTAAAGTATTTTACTAAAATGAAAATTGTAAGGCAATAATAGTCAATTCTTATTTTTTAATTTTAACAAATATAACTTTGAAACCCTCAAAACCACTCCCCTGCTGCCCCCCTGAATTTTAAAAATGCCCATTAGGGTGTAGTACCACCCAGGTTGTGAAACACAGAGAGAAAATAAAATATACATAAAAAAATATATGTTTTGGGGTAAAAGTTAAAACAATAAATAGAATTAAAAATGCCTATGCCATGTAAAAAACTAAACACACTGTCAGTCTGGACAGTGTCATTGTTACCAATGGCAGTGTTCAATATCAACATGATCAATGTGTTAAAATATGTCTAAAATTATGCTTCTGCTCAGCGATGAACCAAAAACATGAAAGTAAATGTGGACAATTAGGACTTGAGTGTTACAATTCTTGCACACTGGAAGTTCAGTCCTTTGTAAAAGTAAATTATGTGTAAGAAAACTGTGGCTAATACAGAGCTTTGCAAAGATGACTTCCTCTCTCTAATTCCTTTACAAACTAGAAGGCCAATAAGGGACAGTAGGCTTTATCTGCAGCAAACCATAGGCAAGCCCACAGAGTGACCTGATTTGACCCATATGTTAAAACTGGAACAGAAGGATGTCTCAAAAGGTGTCCATTAAAAAGAAGTCACTACTTCCAGTTAGAAATATCCAATTTCTTCAGGTGACTCAACTAAAGATCATAATTGGGGTGTTAACAAACAATGGTGGGATGGAATGATCATCAGATTCAACAATATCATCTAGTGTCAAACCTATTTCAGTCAATTTTGCTTGGATATGAAAACCAAAATTTCAAAATATAGACTGATTATTTACTGGGATGCAGTGGTAGGGATTGAAGCTTTGCACCATATTGCAAAGAATGTTCCAAATGTCTCTGGTAAAGTGGAGGTTGGTATGATTATAAACAAACTCTGGACTGAAGAAGTGCAGCAAGCTCCTGTGCAGAGTCCAAGCTCTTGATGATGCACAGGGTCCAACATATTTAATGCAGTCTCTGGCCAAGATGTAGACCAGAGATCCATATTCCAGCTTGGCATTGGAGGATGTTCAGTGCCTTTGTACGCTTGATATTAAGCTGTTTTATGTGTGGAATAAAAAGCAGCTTTCGTCTGAAGAGAAGTCTTAAGGATTTAGTCTCAGCCACCATAGGAACTTAATGTACCTTCCATACCGAGCTCAGGATCAGCATGCAATCCCCACTGTTGGGAGAAATGCATGCAAAAAGTTTTGTATGACAACAATTTGAAACTGTTTGTGGAGGTCCACTTAAACAATTTACTGAGGGAAGTTTGGGGCTGCCAGTTACTGTATCCCAAATTTGATGGCTGGGATGAAATCTGAAAGTTATTGACATACAAGTACTCACCTTATGCAATTAAACTACCAATTAGCACAGTGAAAGTTATCTGTGATATTTACATTTCTTAAAATGCTCTGTAGTTCTAAACAAGAAACTATTCTACAAATAAGTAAGCCAGTTACAATACCTTGTGTACTGCTGATGCTAACGAATATGACATTAATTAATGAACAGATTTAATAAGAGTGCACAGTTTAGATACTGACACATTGGTAATAAAACTGTAACTATATAGAGTGAATAAAAGCTGAACCTTCTCATACTTTAGTATTACAACTGAACAGGAAAAAACAGAATCGACATTAAGTTACTTTAGATTGAACTACAGACAACTGTAAAACTGAGAAGGAGAATGTTTACAAAACCAAAATCAACACATGCAGCCAAGTGGTTTGGTTCCATGTAGAAGAGGTGACAATGTATATTAATATAGTACAAGATCAGCTGATATACATGGACTACAGCTGAAAATGGTAAAAAAAAGAAAGGTACAATGATGGTGTTGTTTGCTTGTTATTATTGCATGACAGAATTATTTTAATGTTTATAATGGTAATCACAATTTTTTGTTTTTTACAAAACTAATATGAGACATTTCAAGAGAATGATGTGTAACAAATACATCACATTAATTTATTTCGTTGCCTGAATTTGAACAGCTAACCTTTTATTGGAAAACTAGCTTAATAGGTAAAATGTATTCAGCCATAGATTATGGGATATGATGTCAGTTTCTAAATTAATATTCATTATATATACTATTTAATACATTTTTATGTATTAATTTCAATAATTGAAATTATTCATCTTTGATAGGTTATTTAGGCAGAGTATTCATAATGAATCTAAGTTTCAAATGGACAGCAACTGCCTGTTGTAGAAACCTACAAATGTAGAGGACAACATTTCGAAAGTCTTCCACCCTCTGAAGACGAAAGGTGGAAGACTTTCGAAATGTTTTAATTGTAACATTTAATTGTTACAAATAAAGAATTTTAAATATCAAGGTTTGATATTACACCAAAAAAACATACAACTGAACTACAACTTGGCAGTATTGAATTAGAAAATTGGAAAAAAATTTCTCTAAAACATAAAAACAACAACCTGAAGTACAATTTGATCACACAAAAAACAAACCAACAAATATCCAACAATGGGGATCAGATTTGCCAAAACATGAAAAAAGTCACACAAATGAGGAAGAGCTTGACAACCCAACAGACAAATCAAATAAGTGGGATCAGTTTCACACCACATTACATGAAACAAATCATAATGCTCAGGTGCTACTTAATAACAAATAAAACTAATGTGAATTTACATTACAAAGGAAACCACTGAAGTACAGGCTGACTGAATAAAAACAAATCATACAAACTGGATCACTATCACTATGACATAATGCAAAGACATAGCTGAGATACAATTTTGATTCAAAATTAAAAAACAAACTGAGTAACACTGACATGCTACTAGTTTAATATCATAATAATAATAATAAAAAAACACATGGCAAAATAACCAAAATATAATAATAATAATAACACATTAAAACACAGTTTAAAAAATTAACCAGGATCATAGGGAAAGGACACTGTTAGAACAAAACTTGACAACACAAGAAACAAATCACAAATGTTGGATCAGTCTTAACATACTAAAAACTAAATTATATGTTAAAGTGATACTTGATAACCCAAACAGAAGAACTTACACAAATCCAAGGATGTATCAATGCTTCTGATGCTGTGATCCTCTTGGCTGGGTTAACAGTCAACATGCTATTGATCAGATTCTTTGCTTCAGGAGTAACAGTATCCCATTCAGGAGATGGGTACTACATACAAGAAAATGTTTCCACCTCCAATGTTAAAAGCATTTAATGGAATAATAAATTTTCCTTAAAATAAAAAATGAGCTAAAATAATAATTTCAAAGGTACAGGGAATGTGAATACCTGGAAACTCATCACATGCCAATCTCAAAGTCTGTTATCTAATTTTGACAACACCATTGCCTCTTATAACAAGTTGCTACTTCATTATCTTTTGCATAACACCTGCATTCCTTTATTGTTACATACACAAGAACAGTGTAGTGAAATCAGAATATTTTGGGATATAATACTGTGAAAATAGAATAAATTAGATGTTGTGATGGATTAATGTATAACTTGTATATACTTGGAATTGGTAGAGACATGTATAACTATATGTATCTATTAGGATATGCTGGAATAGGCTGATGTAAGATAAGGATATGTTTGGTTAACATTAGTAAAATATTGGAATAGTTCAGAATACTTCCGGAAAGCTAAAATATGTTGGGAAAAATTGTTTCAATATTAAAATCCTGTACGTTGGAATAGTTTTCTGTAATGTCAATCCTCACATATCATTTTTCAAAATTACATTGTTTTGTTATTATGACTCTCTGACAACCTTTTAGTTAAAAACTTAAAGCCTGAATTTTTCTATTGGTTACATAACAATAAACTTTAGGATCAAAATGTATTGGAAAATTAGTACAACATCAGGATATGTTAAGATAAGCTTTTAAATTATAAACATATATATATATTCTTAATATCTTTTAACTCTAAATAAATGGTTTATTTTTTGAATACCAAGAATCAAAATAACAAGGAATTCTGTAGAACTTGGTATCCCTTTCTACCAAGACTTCTTAGTAACTGTTTAGGTACCACAACTTCTTAAGAACGATTTTGCTACCATTACTTCATAATAATTGTTTCAATTGCCAAGCTGTTTTCAACAAATACAAAATTATTAAGGATAACATAGCTTTCAAGATACCAAAAATTATGAAAAGCAGACAACTGTAAATCTTTCTTAAACTTCTTTTGTTTGCAACCAAAATGTTTATCTATCCAGATAGTGAGCATGGTGAGTTCTTTGTCATTGTTTAATGGTAGTTCAGTCTTTTGTCTGCAATACCTAATTTTGTGGATCATAGATATGTTCAACTGTCTTAATACTCAGAAAATTACTAGGTGAGTGGATAAACATGTGGAAAAGTATACTCATCATATTTTGTCCAAAAAAAAAGATTCATCCTCTTTAGAGTTCTAACAAGTATCACACATAAAATGGTAATAAATTAGGTGTAAATAACCAAAAAACACATGATCTTCAGGGAAATCCAACTAGTTGTATTTTCATGTGTAAAACCTAATTTCATGTTGATTGTGGATAATAAGATTATATATCTGCATAATATGTGTTTACATCATAAGCTCCAGCTTTAATCTGAGCATACAGCCTGTGCTGGTCTTCATCCCAGAATGGAGGATATCCAACTAACAGGATGTAAAGTATTACACCTGAAAGTAACCAAATACACATGATGTTACTGTTTATCTAATAGATTCACTGCCAGATTGGCTATGAATAGACAAAAAACAGACTGTTTCATTATTTTCTTATGGTACTTAGTTTTAGACAGTGATTAGATAAATAGATAATATATTATGATATCCTGAATTTTATATCCTAGAACCTTAATTGTTTTACCTCTAAATAAATACATTATCATAGAAGTGGAAACTTTTAGACATAATCTTTAAATTAAAGACATGATCACAAGTTAGGATGTAGTTTTTCTATAATATGATTTTAAAGTTAAATACATGATCGAAGAGCTTAATGATACATTCAATCAGCATGATTTTGATTTTTTTGAAATAATCATTGAAACAAATTATAATCTTGAGAAGTTATTCTTTATATTATTTATTTAGATAGATAATCAAGAGTTGGATATTATATTTTTGTAATATTATTTATTTTGTAGAACATGTACATAGTCACCCAACCTGAAGCACATTTTTGAAAAATTATCATCAATTTAGAAAAGTATAAAAGAAATAGATTACTAAAAAAAAGTGCTAACCACATGCCCATATGTCAACTGGTTTTCCATATGGATCTTTCTTCAGAACTTCTGGTGAGAGATAACCAGGTGTACCAGCAAAACCTGAGAAGAACAAACAGTGTAGAGCAAACTTTATGTAAAACTTTAAATGTAAAATATTAGTTTAGCTGCCTTTTTCTGTATTGTTCAGTCTTAAAAACTTTCCAAACATTTATATTCTGAAAACCTTAAGCTTCTTTCACTTGCCTATTTCTTCATTCACAGTGTTAGGAACTGGAAGTTCATTACTGACATACACAATACTGAGAAGTGTAAAATTATGTTTCTAATTTACATTATTTCATGCAACTAGGTCAAAAACAAATATAATCAAATGTATAATACAGACAAAGTACAAAGTTGTAGAAATACATGTAAAATGTATTCTACTATAAGCCACACAGCAGGGCAAATACTGTGTTTATTATATCTAACTTCTATTCACAAGTCTTACAGTTGAAATGCAACTAGTACTTACAAAATTATGAGCATAAATGGGTGCTCAAGTCCACATTTTATTTCTTAAAAATACCCGCGGCCATTTATAGGAAGGTAGCTGCTAAATCATTGGGGAATAGGGTGGGGGTGGGGTGATAAGTATCAGCATTTTAACACACACATGTATGAACAGCACAATAAAACCTAAGCTGTATAGGTTAATATTTTCTACTGTTTAAAGGAACACAGAATTTACTGTCATAGTTCTAAAGAATGTAGTACACCATCCAATCAGTAAGCTGTTAAAATACGTGATTATAATTTATTGTGCATAATTCATAATACTGGACAGCCAGAAGTGAACAATATGGTCAGTCAAATATGACTGACTGCTTTGGTGGAAATTCAGATATAGTATGGGGAAATACCAGTGCAAATAACCATACAAATATTACCGTGCATATAAGGTGAGGACTTATTACTTAATGAAATACTGACAACGTACAATCATACCTGCTGTTTTACCATTTGCACTTCTGATGGGGTAGTCTCTGGCATGAAATCTGTAAAGATTGTGATGGGCAACTCTGACCACAAAAGGAATACAGAGGGTAAAGACTAGTCAGCAGGAAGTTCTAGCTTAAAAGTTATTAAATATCTCTTGTACCACCTTGGACAATACTTGCACCAATGCCTAAGCACATCATATAATGTTGGAGAGTTTGACATTAGACTAGATTCCCCACATGGTTGGCGAGAATCTCGTTATGCCAAAGATGACTCTTCCAGATTAGTGACCAGACCTCAACTCATGTTGAGCTGATTGTAGCTATACAATCTTGCCTCTGATGTATTTTATTTTTTAGTAGTTTATTGCACAAACACAGACAACATTATCACAAACAGGATCATACAGCAGTAGAAAATAATTATAATAAATAAAAAGTGTAGTATTAATGTAAAATGTAATGTATGAAATCTAGCTTCGTGTCACAGTTAACTCTTTTCAATAATTGCATTAATTCTAACTTTTTTCAGTCATATTTCTGATAAGATTTTCGTATGTATTCTATTAAAGTCAACAGTTAACAACAAACTACAACATTTTACACAATATGTTGCACGGCTATCTTCTTAATGATGAACAACAACAAATCTTGATTGTGTTTTACATGTAAAGTAATTCATAACCCCATGAAATATAATGTGAAAATTTACCCCTCATTAATGTTTTCGACAAAGATACATGATGAAGTCCAAGTCTACATTCTAGTCATTTTCATTTATCTGCTTCTAGTACCCTTGATAAGATTCAATGCATTACTAATGTTTTCTGATTTTCAGAGGGTGTAGTGTTGTAACTAATTTTTTATGTATACAGAATTAGATTTTGTTTTCCCATAAATTATAAAATAAGTAAATATACGAATTCACATAAAAAACTAAATATCTTTGTACAGTTACCCTCTTCTACTTTCAAGTAATATGCTGTTGCTAACAGCAGGAAAAGTGAGATAAAATATAGACTTTACCCTAAAAACTTTTGACATTCATTTAGGAGGTTACAAAAGTTAAGCAAATGAAATATGAAAAGAACTATTTTCTTTCTTAGCATAAAAAGCATCTTACATTCAGAATGACTCAGTAAAGGCTTTGGAAACTCACACATGTTTTTTACTGTAAATACTTTATTTTAAAAAATCTGATTTTACATGTACAACAGGCTCGTAATATTTACTAAAAGCTTGTCAAATTTCATGAAGATACACTTAGTACATTCAGAATTATAGTGTGTAAATATGGTTACATGGTGGTTACAAGGTCATTCAAATTACATGAGTCTGAATCTTCAGACTTAAAAGGTTAACTGTGTTAGAGCTTTGAGATACCTATGCCATTACTAGATCATGGGTATATGTTTAATATTTAAACAGCAGTTCAAACAAATTCAATGAATTTTATTAGATGCATTTATATAGAAAGACTTTAAGCCATAAGAAAAACAGAAGAGCTTAGATTGAAACATTTTATAAAGCACCATGTGACCATTTTTATTTTTATGTATCAGGTTATTAGGCAGCTATTTTCCAACACTTTATCTCCTGACCTTGTGTTAATTGATATATGTTCTAAACAACAAAATTTATGCCATTAATTGGAGAAGAAGAAAAAAACATTTCACCCACATGCTTCTAAGAACCAGTAAATTAGTAAGTACATAAACTAATAAAATATAGAGTTGTTAAGAAAATACTTCACGATAATTTCAAACGAACAGTACTCCTAGTATGCTTAAATTTATATTTGTGTTGCTTACTCTAATTACTTACCATACCAGGCCTGTTGGTCTCCCTGAACTTCAATAGCAAGACCAAAATCAGCAAGTTTGACAGCTGCGCCTTTTGCTTTACTAGCAAGGAGAAGGTTTTCTGGCTAAAGGAAAAAGAAAAGCTGTATAATGTACTACCTAATACAGATAAAAGCAGACTGTAACATTATATTCTAATAGCAAACACAGTTCATGTACTCAGATAGAAAGAAACAGAAGGTTTAATATTTAATCAGGCATGAAGTTTAATGCATAATAAACAGGGTGAATTTCCTTTCATATATGAGATAAGCAATCCCTTACATATTCAGGACTTGGTAAAACTGTCTGGCAAATAAAAACTAAACTTTGCTAAATGACAAGCAAACTATAATATGCTTCATTTGAACTTAGTTTAATTAGTTTTCTCACATAGATTTCCCAGATTTTGATATTAGAGGTTTAATGAAAATGGTAAGATTCATAGAAAGTTACTATTGAAAAAATTTCTCTTGCTCCTAATCAAGTTAAAACCTAACTTAGGTAGCTTACATTAATACATTCATGTTTAGAAAAATATCAGGTACAAAAAAAAAGTTCTGTAAAAATCAAATAACAAACAGAAAGAGACTATCTTCCTTGGCATATAGTAAAGCTGTCTTCATGTGCAACAAAAGTCAAACTCCAGTGAATTACTAAAGCCAAATAAAGTTGTTTTCAGTACTAATGTAATTTTTTACAAGTTGAAGATATTTTTGTAATTACGGTTTAAAGAATAATCCAAATCTTTTTTTCTTACTGACAGGTAACTATTTTAATATCAGCAGTTCTAAAACAAAAAATTATTAAAAAGCAATAAAAAAGTTGCTGGATATTAACACTGCTTATAATGTCTGCTTTAAAATGAGCATTACTTGATAAATTTTTTCCCAAATGCTGAATTCTGTGCCAATTAATTAAAAATTAGTACATTTAAACATTGAAATATGAAATTAGGCTAACACTGGAAGAGGAATTGTTTGTTTAATTTTGCACAAAGCTACAAGGGCTATGTGCACTAGCAATTCCTAATTTTAAAGCGATAGACTAGATGGAAGGCAGTTAGTTAACACTATCCACTACCAACTCTTGGGCTACTCTTTACCAATGAATAATGGGATTTACTATCACATTAAAACACCTTCATGCTAAAAGAGTGAGCATGTTCAACAATGGAATTGGAACCTATGTCCTGCAGATTGCAAGCTGAGTGCCCTAATCACCAGGCCATGTGAGGCCTAAGAGAAGAAAGCAGTTCTTTTTGTTTTCTATTTCATCATGATTATGAAAACAGACAGCAACTTCCTTACATCAAGAACACATGTATATAAAATACATTATAAATTTGTGGTTATCAAATTGTCTTCCTACTTTAAATGTTATGATCAACTTAAATTTGTTTTAAAAAAAATAGTCAGTAAAACTAGATTAAATTTAATTTGGTTGGTTCTTAACTAATTTAGCTTGAGAATATAAAGAACAACAGCAACTCAATGTGAAAATATCTTATCTACATTGAAAAAATCTTTGAATAACTGCATTTTAATTAATTAAATTAGAAGTGCCAAAACATATTAAATTTTTAAAAAAAATGCATAAATCTCACAAACTAATCTACCAAAGTTATGAAAATGTTAAAAGTGAAAAAGTGATCCAAGCAAAATAAGATAATATTTATTTCTAAAGTAATAGCAGAACATCTGGAATGGATGTTTTATAGGATTTAACATGTTATAAAAGCTGGTTAAACAATTATAAACAGTAATTAAATATTAGAAACAACTATGTTTTTAAATTTCACACATATTTTTATCAGTTGTACATAGTAAAACTTTATTTTATTCACAACATTTCACCAAACATGCATCATCAGGTGGGATACAAGAACTGAGGCTAACACAATTTAACCCATTGATTGCTGATTTGCAGTATAGAATACGGTCTGCCTGTGGCAGTCGAATGTGAGTGTGCTGTATACAGTGCATGGCTGGTATGCTTAATATTTAGGACAGCTGTAGTCGATGAATTAATTTAAAAAAGAATCATGTGAGAAACTATAACAATAGTTATCTACAATTATATGACTAAGCAAATACTTGTAGATTACTAATTGTTATAGATTCTTAAGTGATTCTTTTTTAAATTAAATTCAGTTAGCCTCAGTTATTGTATCCCAACTGATGATGTCAATGTAAACCTGGTAAAATGTTGTGAATAAAATAAACAAAAGTTTTACTATGTACAGCTGATAGAAACTTGTGTGAATTATGGACATTCTTTAATTAGTTTTGTAAATAAGCAATAAGAAAACTTCAGTGGATGAGAATACATTATTTCTGCATAAAAGGATCACCAAAAATTTTAACACCAAAATATATTCTAGTCCCAAAAATACCACTTTTTATTCTCTTTTACAAGAAAAGTTATAAAAACATATTATCAAATATGAAAGACAAAATTTAATCAAACTGTTTATGTATTTCTTAAAACAATTTATATATTTGAGTAAAAATAATATTCTTATTAAAACATTTTAAACAGTAATGATCAAAAGAAAACAAAAAACTTAATACTTACTGTAGTACTAATTAAAACACACAAGGAAACTACACACCTTGAGGTCCCTATGCACCACACTATTCTGATGACAGTGGTTTACACTCTCCAAAATTTGCTGAATACAGTGACTAAAAATATAAAATTATACATTTTATTACCTACTAATGCACTACTAAAATGAAAGATTAAAAATACAATTATATTATTTTACAATTTTCAAAGAAATACTTGTTGCTGAAGATATGGTGGATGTTTTAAGTTATTTATGTGCATCTAATAAATTTTTGGCTGAAGGTTTACTCTGTCACAATATAAACACAAAAAAATACTAAACAATAACAGTACATTAGTATACAAAATTCACAAGAGTGCTGTAAAAGTGTACCAGTTTGAGAAAATCTACATGTACTTCATGCATGATCCACAAAAGCTTAGAGAACATGTACTAAAACAGGTTAAACAGTGTACATTATCATTTGCTGGCAAGACTGCCACATACAATGTATATTCTTTTAGAATCTTTACAAATATGTTTAAGCTTTTAAATCTATTTAATTTAAAAAAAATTAAACTATAAAATGCTTTACATCTAAAAGAGAAGTTATCAATAAACAATGTATTCTAAGGATAATTGATCAAAATTTAAGATTAGTAACTTTCACTATACAACCTGACTATAATGGAAGAATAATCAGAATTATATGGGCAAATAGAGAAAAGTAATAAAATAAAATAAAAAACTGCATATTGCATAAAGAGTATATATATATATTATTGATGAATAAATAAATTACATATTAACAAACAATGCTTCTAAGAGAATTCTTAATAATAAAAAACTATTGAAGATTTAATTACCCATTTCATATTTAATAGTAATGTTTTACATTTTAATTTATTTTTTCATAAGTCACTACTTAATTGTCTAAATACTGTCATACTCTACTTAAAACTTATTCTAAAAAGTAAAAACCAATAAAAACTATTGTATATGAATACCTTACTCATAGAGAGTTACATTCAAAATGTATAAAATTTTTTAAAAAAGGCATACAATAGAGATTAAAGGCTCTTAAAGCATATATATATAGATAGCCAGTCCTCATTATTCCTTGTGGATGCGTTCCTGGAAGCCACAACGAACAACGGGACCAATTAACCCATTGACTTACATGTAATACATGGAACATATGTTACAAGCTGAAAAAAATACATCAGTCAAAGTGATCAACCTTGTAAAGACTATAACAGAGTTAGGGTAGAGAAGATAACAGATAAAATATAAACTTTTACCGAACAAACATGTCTGAAATTTATTTAGAAAGTTTTAGAGATTATGCAAATAAAAGTTGGAGATTTCTGAGACAAATAAAAGTATTTTTAATCTTAACAAGAATATCACTTTGCACTCAGAAAAAAAGAAAAATACTCTATATTCATGGACAAATCTTTAGTAAAATTACTTCATCAAAAATTATGTCTTTTGTGCAAAAGACTTAATGTTTACTAAAAGTCTGCCAAATTTTGTGGGGATACACATACTGTATCAAAAGTTATAATGCAGAAACTATAGTGAGTATAAAAGTGGTTACAAGGTTGGCTGAATCAACTGACCACATGGTGAAAGAGTTAATTTATTTTTAAACAACGGGGCAACAAATAATGAAGACTGGCTGTATATATAAAAAAGGGTTACATACAAGGTCCACCGATGAGAAATGGGATAGCTTAAAGCAGTGTTTTCTAAGAGAGTTATAAAAAGAGAAAATAAGTACACGTCTTTCATTATTAGCAAGAAGACTAAAATCAAACACTTTATGCCAACCTAACTCACTTACAAGATGCTGTAAATGGAATTAATTTTGTTCCAATGATTTCCAAATTTTCTGAGATTTGACAAGAGGATGAAGTCCTATAGCAACTTTGGATTTTTTGTAGCATTTACTTGCCATAAACAAATACATTTACCTTGCATCAGCTTCACTGTAGTATTCCCTTGCTACAATGTCCTCAAACAGTTCACCTCCTGTTACTCTGAGAGTAAGAAAAAGAAACTGTTTAGTAAGATTAAACCACAAAAGAAATTCAAACAAAACATTAAACTGAACAAAAGGTTTTCACCTGGCTGCTTCATACCAACATTTAAGGTATAATTGATCATTATTCCCCATGTAAGACTCTTTTAATGATCAAAACCCATGCTTGTACAGTATAATTTTAAGGACACAGTACTGCAGAAGCATCTGACTATTGTAGCCTAGCTTGGCCTTGTACATTGATTATTACCATAGTAACATTGCTATTCAAATGATGGGAAACAAAAAGATTTAATTTTATCTTTTTTTTCTTGAAATAACATACATACAATATATTACTTTTACTAACTAAATGTACTCCTACTTTATTTTTTTTTTTATATACAGTGCCTTCTTTATTCTGATAGTCCTGTTAAGTGTGATTAATACTGTTAACTCACTACTGAGTTTAGCACAGTTGATGAGGAACACAAGCTTAATTACCTACTGCTAAATAGCTTAAACTTTGTAAGATTGGATCTAAATAATGTTCCTCAGTTATGTTTTCAATCATATAATGAATTTATGGCTTTTAAACAGAACTTGTAAAAATAGTCTCGTATACATTAAAAGTGAATACAAAGTTTCAATTAAATCCAACACTTGAATTCATAATGAAATAATTTCTCAAGGGTTACAATACATATATGTAGTTGGTTGTCTTGTTCACAATGTTTCCTAGCAAAAACAATGTATATGCACAGCTACATGTTCAGGTAGGTTGTTTCAAAGCTACTTACATTTGATTTAAAAAAAAATACTCAAGCTCTGGCATTTTCCTAGGCTCATTAATTAATTACATTCAACTAAATGCTTATTCTCACATCGGATGGCTGAAAAACCCAACAGAAAACAGATTATTCTTGTGTTATGGCTAAGAAAAATAACTTATAAAGCTAAAAATCGGGTAATGATACCTATGGCTCGCAAAGGACAGACAGCTCATTGTGTAGCTTTGTATTTAACAATGAACAAACATAATGGAAATATTTTGATTACTTGGAATGCAAGAATAATCAAAAATAGCAATTTCATATAATTGGAAACCTTAATTTCTACAAATTATTTTTGTGATCCATGATATTAATTTTGATTTATTTTGCAATTTCGATTAAATGATTATTTTATGTGACATTAGTTGATGTAATAAATGCCCACAAGTAATCGTATAAATTAACCATGCTAATCATCCAGTTCTACATCTGGTTCCTCCGAGTTAAACATTAATGCTCTTTTCATGACACAGTAATGGACAAATATAAATTAATTTTTTTTTAATTATCAAGAACAGTAAAAACCAAAATGAACAAACTTACAAGTCAAAAATTAAGTAATGGCATCCTTCCTCTTGTATGCTGTCATGAAGACGTACTGAAAGCAAAAACAAATACTGAAGAATGTCCAATTGTGTTACGTAACACAGGTTTAGTACTGTTATTTAATTTTATTAAATATAATAAATAAAGTTTAAAATTCCACCTAAAATAAATAAATACAAAACACAGAACTATTTGCTGAGAGAGCTCTTAAACTTTATCATCTTTATATCAAATAAACCCATCATAGAGACATTTATAAAATAGTCTTATACAAGAAAAAATACAGAATCTTTTTTTAAAAAACAAAATTTAATTTTTACAATTTATCAAGCAATTTAACCAGTAATTAAATTTCTTACATCATGAAAATACTTGTATCAAATTACAAAAACAGCCTCTGAATTGAATGAATAAATATTTTGTCATAAAGTAGTAAAGACTGATTCATAGCTTTTAAAAGTTTGTCTTTAATTTCTCTTACAAATTTTAATTTTAATCTTCTTAACTAATTACATAATGATTACACTGGTATGAAGTTATTAATAAGCTTACTACTCTTAGTCAATAATAGGAACTTTAAAAAATAACTAAACACACAAAGAGAACATCTCTCACAAAGACATAACAATATTAAAAACTTAGTTTTCGGCTAAACTGCAGGCTTTAAGAATTTTGCCGATGTCACCAATTACAAATGTACATTATGCTTATTAACCAAGATTAAATCGTGTTTCCATGCCAAGAAGGTCTGTAAATAAATTAATACTGAACTCATTTGAAATGATACTATAAAGATTCTGGAACTATTTTCTAGGTATGTTTTTATTTGGTGTGAGTATTGTTCAGTTTTAGATAGTTCATCATAAAAAAAAGTTGATCACAAGGAAAATTTGGTATAAAATCTAGTTAATTGAAATTAAAATAAACTCTTGTATTACTGGAAAAGAAAATTATAAAGTGATGGTCAATCCCATTATTTCTTAGTAAAAGAGTAGCCCAAGAGTTGGCAGTGGCACTGTTAAATTAGGGACGGCTAGCACATGTAGCCCTCGTATAGGTTTGCACAAAATTCAAAACAAACCTTGATGTTTTAAATGAAACGTTGCTATATATTTTCAGTTGCTTTTCATTGATATTATTATTATTTTGTTACTAGATGATTCCTCGAAGTGAGAATATCTTAATGATTTTATTCACTGAAAACAAATCATCAATGGTAAATAATTAAAAATTTAATTGGTCTTAATATCACATTGTTTGTGAGCTTTAAGTCAATAGTTTAATCTCTTTCATTGTTTTGTAATATGGTTGTACTGTTCAGTGTATAGTTACTTGTTTAAGCTAGTCTTGCCCCCCCCCCAACTGAAAGGGTTAGCATGTTTGGTGGGACAGGAATTTGAACCCGAAGCCCTCAGACTGCAAGTCAAGCACCCTAATCACCTGGCCATGCCAGGCCTTAAAACAACATAGTAGCAAACAGTAAAAAATGGTAAAGAAAATCATTATACTGGACTAAAAAACTCTTTTACATTTTCCTTAACACTTTCGCATATAAGAATACTTTCTTCTGCAAATGATCAATCCTATTAACCACTGTAGCTTTCTATTCAACTGCCATCTTAAGCAAAAAATACATTTCCTGTATAAAACCTTTCCAAAATAATAATAATTTATTTTAGCTTACTGTAATGGTTAAAAAAAAAAATACAAACACTTATGCAACAGAAGTATAT